TGTTAATTCAAATGGTGCAGCTGAAAATACTCTTTTTATGATTTCCTGGTGCACATGTTCAAGGGTTCCAAGAAATATACTCAAGAATTGCTGGTTTGTAGGTATGCAAATATTCACGTTTACAAAATAATGCCAAAATTTTTTTTTTTTTAAAGACAGAGTCTTACTTTATCACCCTTGGTAGAGTGCCGTAGCGTCACAGCTCACAGCAACCTCCAACTCCTAGGCGATCACTCTTGCCTCAGCCTCCCCGGTAGTTGGGAATACAGATGCCTGCCACAACGCCCAGCTATTTTTTGTTGTTGTTGCAGTTTGGCTGGGGCTGGGTTCGAACCTGCCACCCTTGGTATATGGGGCCAGTGCCCTACCTGAGCCATAGGCGCCACCCGTCAAATTGTTTTCAAAAGGGATGCACTCAACTTCCACCAATGCATAAAAAATCTCAATCCAGCATTTCCAACATTTGGTTCAGTCTTTTTATACTAATCAGGGGTAAAAATAGTGATGAATATTATTACATTGTGGTCTTGGTTTGCATTTCCCTGGTTAAGTACCTCTTCGTGTATTTATTGGCCATATTATTTCCTTTTCTATGAAAATACCTGTTCAAAAATCTGCTTATTTTTCTACTTGGGTTGTTTCCTCTTCTTATTTGTAGTTCTTTATATGCTCATGATACTAATCTTTTGTCAGTTCTGTGCACGTCTTGTCTCAGCTGTCATTTCATTTCAGATAGTTTTCACGTAGATTCAGAATTTATATATTTTTCTTCTGTTAGTGCTTTCTGTAGCCATTTTAAGAGAACTTCCTTATACTTCAAGGTCAGCCAATTGTTCACTTACATCTTCTTATGAACATATCAAGGATTGCTTTTAAGTCCATTCACCTGGAGTTGATATTTATGTATGGCATGAAGAAAAACACAAATAACATTCATTAAAAAAAATTCATAGAATCATTACGTGTAATTTTTTCCTCAACACGGCAAAAGTTCTAAATGGCATCTGCTCCCAAACTAAACCAAGTTCATTAATGTGAAAACTTTGCTAACTTCTCCTCTTAATCTCTTATTTTGCACTCTTTATAGTTTTAGAAATAGCCTTTTGGGGGGCTCTAAGTGTGAACTTTTGCACTATTTTCCCAAACATCACCCTTGTTTCCTCGCCCCGTTGCCTGTGAACATGTGCTGATCGGAAGTTTTAGCTAAGAAAATGCATATTCCTGGTCTCCAAGCTAAAAGTTAGAATCTTTGAAACTGGGTGCTTGAGGAACAAGTATTTAAAACAAGTTTTCCTCAGGAAATTCTTAAGCGTTAGAAATGAAAACTATAGCCTATTTAGAAGAGCAGAACATAGTCCCTGAATTTACAAGTGCACGGATGCTTAAATTTCTCATCTTGATTGTACTTATCTTTGTACATAATGTAACCTCTGTCTGGGTTCCAATATACAACTGTGACTTAAACATAAAACTCTTGAGAAGCCTTCTCAAACACCAGAACAGGAGTTGCCCCAAACCAACATGCAATTGCAGAGAACTAAATTAAGAGTATTAAGTTCTTGAATTGAAATTGATGCTATCAAGTCTTTCATTACAATTAGACTAAATTTGGGCTTTTAGGAATCTCATAGGATGAATTCAACTATCATGAAATATCCAGGTGCTGGCACCACCTGTTGATTAACTGCATTTAATTTTGTTTCTGCATCCCAGAAACATGTGCTTCCTCATCCAGTATGGTTAGAGCCATCCTCTCACAATCTATTTGACTTCTAAAGAGAGCTAGAGTATGATTATGAGGGCTGTTAAGTCACAGAAGACGTAGTCTCATATTCATTAAAGGACCCAAGTGTACCCATTTTCTATGTGCCCAGTCTTAACCTTCACGTTAAGACTGTCTATATTTCAGATCTACCATTGTAACTACCTACGTGATAAATGGCAACAAAGCATTTCTTGACTTCTCCATACAGAATATGTAGGAGTATCTCTAAGCACATAACATGAGGTAGTTTTCTAATACATGGCAGGCTCTCATTCAGTGATTAGGATGCACTTACATCCAAATTTAACAGTTCTTCCCTAAGAAAAATTATGTATTTGTCCTTTAAATAATGCTGGAAGTCTCAAAAATTCTTGATCTGCATCTAGAGTGCATGATAAGATTTTTAAAAATCCCAATGTTGAGTTTCCCAAGTCAAAGTTTCACTTTCCAACTGAGGTCTGACCACAAATACCCTGATTGCAGCTTACAAATGGGCCTTGACTAATTTTAAAATATGCTTTGGGCCATGGCAAGATTGGTGACTATTTTTGCACAGACAACAGGAAGAAAAAAGAAATTAAGCCCGATCTTTATATCACAAAGTAACATAACTATTAACTGGAATCACCAGAAGCGCAGCAGAGTCCCTTTTTTTTTTTTTTTTACTAACACACTGCTGCTCCACTCTCCAAATAACAACTCTAAAGTGGCCAATTTATGTTTTAAAAAAATTCTAATACTTCACATACACAAAATGTAGCACTGGATTTTCCAAAACCTGCACTAAATGCTAAATTGACAAAAACACACAAAGCCTAGATTTGGGGGACAATAAGGAAATTTACTTATAAAATTAATTCCAAGGCAAAAAAAACCCCCTCAGGTTGGAAATCTTCATCTGTTGGGAACTCCTATGCAGAAAACATTAACAGCTAGTATATGAAGCTTTTCCACTTTCACAGTCAAATAATTTAGATAATCGATGCACATCAGCTAATAAGCAGATGTGACAAAATTTTATTTATGATTTACTTGAATGAGATCCTATCTCCTCAGCCTAACTAGCTTAATTCTCCTTAGCAATAAAACTATTTTACCTCATTGGCCTGGGGGGGGGGGGGTCAGGAGAATCAATAGGCAAGATAAAAGAGGGTGAGGGAAGATGATTATATTGCCCCAGATGCAAAGAGATCTTTTCTCCTGGAAATAAAGACCCCAAGGCCTCCATTGCACTTTTATTTGAATGTAATATTTGGGACAATTCTCCAAAAGGGTCGTTAACTCCCAATTTAATCTGAGGTTATAATAAAACAAGCAACAAAACAGTGTTGGGGGATTTCAGTTTCTCACCCTTATCATCAAGACTCACTGCCTCCCATCATCAATATTTATTGAGCATTTACAGTGTACTAGGCACAATAGAACATACAGAAAACATTGTCCCTGCTCTTGAGGAGCTTACATTCTA